AAAACCAAATAAACAAACCAATGTTTGCAAACAAAGCGAAATTTTAAAGTTTCCGAAATTCCGACTGGAAATTTTCGAAAATTTTTCAAAACAAAGTATGTTGACGTTAAAAAAATATAAATAAACACCGGAAACAAAAATAAACCATCAAAAAAATGTAAATAAACATTGAAAACCAAATAAACAAACCAATGTTTGCAAACAAAGCGAAATTTTAAAGTTTCCGAAATTCCGACAGGAAATTTTCGAAAATTTTTCAAAACAAAGTATGTTGACGTTAAAAAAATATAAATAAACACCGGAAACAAAAATAAACCATCAAAAAAATGTAAATAAACATTGAAAACCAAATAAACAAACCAATGTTTGCAAACAAAGCGAAATTTTAAAGTTTCCGAAATTCCGACTGGAAATTTTCGAAAACTTTTCAAAATAAAGTGTGTTTACGACAGAAGAATGTAAATAAACATTGGAAACCAAAACAAACAATCAAAAAAATGTAAATAAACATTGAAAACCAAAATAAACAAACCAATGTTTGCAAACAAAGTGAAATTTTAAAGTTTTCGAAATTCCGACTGCAAATTTTCGAAAATTTTTCAAAACAAAGTATGTTGACGTCAAAAAAATGTAAATAAACACCGGAAACCACAATAAACAATCAAAAAAATGTAAATAAACATTGAAGACCAAAATAAACAAACCAATGTTTTGCAAACAAAGTGAAATTTTAAAGTTTTCGAAATTCCGACTGGAAATTTTCGAAAATTTTTCAAAACAAAGTGTGTTTACTTTAAACAAATGTAAATAAACATTGGAAACCAAAATAAACAATCAAAAAAATATAAGTAAACATTGAAAACCAAAATAAACAAACCAATGTTTGCAAACAAAGCAAAATTTCAAAGTTTTGGGAATTTCGATTGCAAGTATACTTATCGATACTTACCCAGTATCCACGAATTATGCACAAGTGTTAGAAATGATTGTATAGTAATTCACTTAGAAGTAAATTAACATACAAATACTTACCCATACTTACCTAGTGTGAACTGTCCACACGTGTCTAGATGATTTCATTGCATAATATTGGTTTTCAATGTTTATTTATTTTTTTTTTGATGTGAACATACTTTGTGTTGAAAAATTTTCGAAAATTTGTGAGTGGAATTTTGAAAAGTTTGAAGTTTCGCTTTGTTGGCAAACAAAATATGCAAGTTTCCACGATGATACTACAAGCTGCAAGTGGATGTCGCTTACAATTAGCCTACGGTCAAGTGCCATCTTCAGGTTAAGCGTGCAGTGCGCGTAACACCTCTAGGATGAGTGTCCATGCTTATTGTACGACTCTGAGATGAAACGCACTTTATCTTCTATATCCTTTATAACCCCCTTTTTTTTTACGACATTCGGCTCCCTTGAGGGAGAGAGCCGGGTAGTGTCGGATTTTTACCGACTAAAACCTCCACGTTCTTGTCTAACTTCGTAATACGTGATGACCGGCTTCTTTTGTGTGTCTACAAGCAGAGCCTTCAATATCGCTGCCGGAGCGAAGTGACCTCCTAGGACTCGTGTGAGGGTTGCTCGTTGCATAGCAAAGACGGGACATACCTCCAATGCATGTTAGGCCGAGTCCCTTTCGGCTCTACATTCCATACATTCACATCAGCAGAGTTTTCTGTTCCAATATTCTTTATAACTCCACCATCAACCTATATCTATCATAAACGTATCCATATAAGTTCCGCTGCACCATATGTAGGTATGAACGTTTCCTACGATACCGTTCTAGAAAGGATTAATTCCGTAGAAGTCTTATTTTTACAAGTAATCTGATACAGAGAGTATTCACGATCGGTCAAGTTTCTTTGGTTTTTACATTTCCGCGTTCTATAGATCCGGCAATATAAGATTGATAATGATAAAATAGTTATAATGTGGTCGCAAGATCCCCTTATCATCTTCGTGTCACATCCTGTTGTACCGATTCGGGCAAGTTTTGCACTGCAGTTGTTAATATCGTTTGCAACTTGACCGACAATGTTGTCATCAGCGCTAAAATGGCCGTACCGTGAACTACATTAAATTCTCGAGCGTTTCTGTTTAAGTTCTCAAACCGTGAAGTGTATCTGTCAAACACGAGTTGCAGTAAAAAGATTGAATATAATAAAATACTTTATATAATATTTTGTGAACGAGGTTGGTATTTTGGATTACTGTTTATGTATGAAAAATACTATGATCAACATGCACTCCTGTGTCCAAAAAATTATAATTGTAATACCTCTGGGCGTGGCATAAAATATACAAAATTTTGTTTACGACATTGCTAGAATTTATTTTGTATTTGAAATTTATATATTATATATTCAGTTGTTATCTTTGCGTAATTGTGTATACAGAAATTCATATTTAGTGCAATTTGTATTATGACTTGAAGTTTCCGGGTTTTTGAGGTTAAGTAATTTAGAATTTCGAAAATATACGTATTTTATACTTTTTGTACATTATTCTTTGATTCATACACGTTATGCGATTTATCAATATGCGAGGATTCAACTTTTCCTAATTACTCTTGTAGCAAATATTTTTTACATATTTATTATTATTATTATTTATTTTGTTGATATCATTAAAGATATTAAACAGAAAATTCAAGAAGTACATAATAGATCAAATATTTTGTCTTTAAAGGTGTCAGCTTAAAAATGGCAATAGCTGAAATTATGTAATGAATATTTTATTAAATGTGAAAGTATATAAGGAACTTGAATTTGGAAACATGGAGAAGAGGAGTAGTGCAGAACTTTTAAATATCGAGCAAAACAATTCCAAAAATGCCAGCTCTGATTCTCTCAATTCAGATAGCAAGAGTAGCTCTCTTAATTCCAAAATGGGGCAAGAATCGGTAATATACTTTGGTTTAATTAATAGTGTAGGTTTAAAACTTAAAAATAATCGTATCTAAATGTACGTGAGCATTGAACTTCTTTAGGAAAGCTGGGATAAAGCGTCACATTCCAAAAGTTTTTCTTCAAGTTCTACTTCGACAGATAATAATATTGTCTCTGCTTTAGAAGCTAGAAAAGACAATCAAGTAAAAGTGAGTTCTATGTAGATGAACGGAGTTAATACGGTTTTTTTTAATTTCTCAATCAGTTGCATACTGTCAGAACTTGTTTTCTTTTCCAGACAACATATTTTTTGATTTCATTCATTTGGTACGTTTTATCTTTCTTTTTTTAAGAAATTCTGTTTCATCACTTTTACTTTTTCAATGTATATATTATTTAAATGTCTAGCTAAGGTAGCAGATAGATGCTTATTTTATTATTTAAGGTTTGTTCTGTCAATGTAACTGTTCTCTCTTCACAGAATCTATCTGTTGGAGAAACGGGTCCACCGCTTTTAAATGGGGAACGTGTACAAGGCATTGCTCACGAAGTAACTTATGTGTGTCCTTATTCAGGACCGGTTAGAGGAATTCTTAGTATTACAAATTACAAGCTCCATTTTCGGAGTGTAGACCGCGAAACACCCTATGTTGTCGAAGTACCATTAGGTGTTGTTAGCAGAATCGAGAAAGTCGGTGGTGCGTCTAGCAAAGGCGAAAATTCATACGGTATCGAAGTGTTTTGTAAAGACATGCGAAATCTCAGATTCGCGCATAAACAGGAAAATCATTCCAGAAGAGATGTTTTTGAGAAACTTCAACAGTATTCGTTTCCCCTGTCTCATAAATTACCCCTTTTCGCGTTCGAATATTCCGAAACGTTCGCTGAAAATGGTTGGAATGTTTACGAGCCCATTGCCGAATTAAAACGAATGGTAAAAGATATTGTATATTATAACTAATTCAGTAATCAGGAAACGCGTTGATTACAATTATTTCCAGGGAGTAAACAATGACATGTGGAAGATATCGAAGATCAACGACACATATTCGATATGTGATAGTTATCCAGCCGTATGGGCAGTGCCTGCGGCGGCAACCGACGAGGATCTACAAGCGTCGGCAGCCTTTCGAAGTAGAGGAAGGCTTCCCGTACTGTCGTGGATCCATCCAGAAAGTCAAGCAACCATAACTCGTTGCGCTCAGCCGTTAGTAGGTGTTGGTGGCAAACGTAGCCGCGAGGACGAACGATACGTTCAATTGATAATGGACGCCAATGCACAAAGTCATAAACTTTTTATTATGGACGCTAGACCAATGCCTAACGCAGTGGCGAACAAAGCCAAAGGTGGTGGTTACGAGAGCGAGGACGCATATCAAAATGCCGAGCTCGTGTTTCTTGATATCCATAATATACACGTAATGAGAGAAAGTCTTAGAAAATTAAAAGGTACGTTAGCTTGCGTCCTACTGGATCATTAAGGCTGGTAATAAGAAACTATTATTAGTATAGAGTTACGTTTTCCAACCTCTTAGAGTTATGTTTTCCAACAATTGACGAGGCCAGATGGTTATCGGGAATAGAATCTACCGTTTGGTTGAAGCACATAAAGTACGTACTTGCGGGAGCGTTACGAATTGTAGATAAAGTTGAAAACCATAAAACTTCGGTGTTAGTGCATTGTTCTGATGGTTGGGATAGAACAGCGCAGGTAATTAAAAAATGACAAAACGTGTTTTAATCATAATGTACTTTTAATATTCATAACTGTTTACAGCTCACAGCTCTTGCCATGTTAATGTTAGATCCGTATTACAGAACCATCAAAGGTTTTGAAGTGCTTATAGAAAAAGAATGGCTTAGTTTTGGTCATAAGTTTCAGCAGGTATGCAATGATATGCGGCCAAATTGGGTATTACGAATCAAAGCGTTGTAATTTTAATAATTATATTTTAGAGAATCGGTCATGGAGATGAGCATCACAGCGATGCGGATAGATCTCCAGTATTTTTGCAGTTCATGGATTGTGTGTGGCAAATAAGTCGTCAGTTTCCCAATGCATTCGAGTTTAACGAACACTTTCTAATCACTATACTTGATCATTTATACTCTTGTAGATTTGGCACATTTCTATTCAGCAGGTATGTTAAACATCTTCGGTAGATTATATGTCTATCATAATCATTGTCTATAAATACGTCTACAGCGAACGCGAAAGAGTCCAAGAACAAGTGAAACACAAAACTGTTTCGTTATGGTCGTACACGAATAGCCAGTTATCGTTGTATCAAAATCCTTTGTACTGGGCTGCTCCCAATTATCAGCTTGTTCTAATGCCAATCGCTAGCATGAGATACATTAAACCGTGGAAAAGTTTGTATTGTAGATGGAATCCCAGTATGCGACAGCAGGTATACAAAATGCTCTAGCTTAATTTACATAGAAATTTCAATTATCGTTTAAGCATTTTTTTTTTTACTGTGCTTTCTAAGGATCCTGTTTATCAACGAACAAGAGAATTGCTAGTCTTGAAGGAGCAACTCGAGAAACAACTGGAGGAAGGTCGCCGTGAACAGGCCAGTCGCGCAAGTCGATCCATGACATCGCCGGCACCTCCTAGGCTACATTCCCCAGTTCACTCATAGCACGGCAAAGATTTGTTATCATCTTTTAGTGATTTGTAGTTATTTGTATATAAGCTTCTTCTTTCGTCGTGCGAACCATTTCGTTATGTACAAAATGCTCGTTGATAAAGAAAAAAAGAACGTTTACAATTTCTGCGCAAATGATTTTATAGCTTGATCCTCATTCCCAGGTATTATGAAATATTAAATAAAATCATGAATGCTATTGTTTTCGTTAAACAATAAATCGAAGAAAAATGGAATCGTAGTAAAATGGAATATCTCGAAAATTTTGAATGCACACGAAAAAGTGATTTTCTTTTTTCGCTGATTTATTAATTAAAAGACTTAGAGATACTTATCACTCATTTCATTCTTTTCTGCCGGTTATTGTATAATCGGAGAAGTTTTATAAATGGCACTTCTGTCGTTACGGATATTAAGAAAGCAATTATGTAAGATATAACACTCACTGTTAGAAAGAAAGCAGCCTGAAAAGAGATAGAGAAAACGAATTATATCGTATTCATATAAAGTTCAAATATTGCCCCAATAATATTATTTTATCATACTTACTATATTGTAATAATCAATATAATCAGGAAAACTACGTGACGCACAAATTCCTAATATCACAAAAGGGTTCACGAGATAAGCGCAATACGTTAATCTACTCAGAGGAACGAAAAAATCTGAGCTTAGGAATTTGCATATAATACCTGCAATCACAAAAGATACATCTGAATATAATGTATCAAATGAAAAAGAGCATATTAATGTAAGGTTAATATTAATAATAATGATATTAATGTTAATATTAATATTAATATGATAAATAATGTATTTAAAAAAAAAATATTTTTACAAAATGTGTGATAACATTATCGTATTATGATAAGTAATTCAAAACATATTGTAAATAGTTTACCGCCGTGATTCGTGCAGCATGCAACTACGAGCCACGCAATGCCAAGAGACCAGCCTGTTCTGCTTAAAGTTGAATAAATTATGGACAGACTGAAAGGTATATTCTTGTCCGTAAGCCCGAATAGAATCGAACAATTACACAAAATCGACAAGGCCCAACCAACGATTAAACTTTTCTAGAACAAACATTTAATCATATTGTTTAAAGATACGCTGACACACACGGGTACAACGGGTTTATTACTTTTGATAAATGTAACTTGTAATTCCACTTTATGAGAAGGTAACTTATGGCCATTCCTACGAGATATGGTACTATCCTAACCCACGGTCGTATGTAAAGATCTGTCAGCGTACTGTATTGTTTGTCCAGCCTAAGAAAGTAAATATACATATATTTAGACATCTCCTATGCTGTAAATAATATAAAATTCGCTTTGTATGCTTACGTAGGTACAAAGTTCAAAGTGTACGAGAAGTAAAGGATTGATCCCAACGATGAAAATAACGTAACGACGCCTAAGCTTACGGCGGTATTGCAATGCCTGAAGTAATCGGTGAAATTTAGCGACGTGATAAAGCTAGACTGTCAAATTGTCGAGAAAGCCGAATTGTAAACTCACGTGTCCGATAAAAGGAGGAGAAAACTGCCGAACAAGAAATACTGCATGTCATTGGGCAGGTACCAACTCCAGCTGAGACACTGAAAGCATTACCCTTCCCTGTGAAACGTTTCCTTTTTTTTTTTTTTTTAACAATGTAATTATTTAATAAAATGATACGTACTATATCGTTCCAGTGGTACAAGTTATTGATATAAAGCATATTGGTCCACCAATATTTCGAGCATACAACGTTCACTCGTTCCACGGGAAGAATTATCGAGGTTTGATCCTTCCATGTGAAATAGAATATCGCCAACAATATAACAACGAAATACGCGGGCGTGAGCCTTTAAAAATTCGACAGAGAAAAAATTATCATTTCCATACGCATATCTCGCCGACGGGATTCAACAAGCGTCGACGATTATACTATACCTGATGTATCGTTTGACGAACAGTTCGATATATTGTTTTATCCTTACTGGTAGAGACGGGACTTTCTTATCTTTCGATTGCCCCTTAAAAAATATGTACGTCAATAGGAAACCGCTTATAAAGAAATACGTGTCTACGGAGAGCGTCCCGTTGGCCAGAATTTGTGCCGCTAGAGTGTCGCTTAATGCGTAAGCGATCGTCTTATTCGCTGTGTAACGCGATTCGTTTTTATTAAAAATAGAAGAAGAAGAAGAAAAGAAAAAAAGGAAATCAAAAATCGGAAATTGAACTTCCTACCTGTGATGTGAGTCGTGTAGAAGATTATGTGGCACAGAATAATCCATAGATTTCCCAACACTTTCATACTGTGGAATATACGCACATTGTCTGCGCTTTCTTCCGCTTTAAATATTTGCCGTGTGTTCGTGACGAACGAAAAACAGAGAACGTACTCCATGACGTTGCTCGGCGACTTCGATTTCGGGGATACTGAGTCTTCTTGGTCGGTCTCGCATTTCTCTTCTATCTCGTTCTTCAGTTCTGTTAATCGTACGTCGCACAGATTAAAAAAAGGGAACGGTACAAAGTGACAAGGATCGTTGGTTGCATAAACGCAATTATGAACGTATTAAATAACAATTAATACCATCGGCGCTCGTATCTCGGGGTTTACTGTTCGTGTTGTTATTTTCAAAGTTGAAGATTTCCTTCTTGTTCTTCGTGCGTTTTTTATGAATGAGAACGTCGTACACCGTGGCCACTGCCACAAGACCGCAAAACAGTACCAAAAATCCCCTGTAATTGACGTTTGCAATGATACCGTGCAGAATTTTCCATTGCGCGCTCGAAGTTTACATACACGATGAAGATTATCTTCGCAGAGAAAAGCCATTGATGATCATCCACCAAATCGGTGATTTCAATTATCTCGAAATTCGCGGAAAAAAGCTCTCCGATCAAAAGTTTCCTCTCGTTCAACACTTTCTCCAGCATCGTGGCTATATCGTGGTTAGTGCAGGACGCCGGCAGACAAAATCCGAGTGTGATCAAGTTCTAAGGAAACGTGCGATCTCTCAGATCTTCATCTCACGATCGTAAAAGAAAAAAAAAAAAAAAACAGAAAAAGAAAAGCACACGGGCATGCAAATATGTTACGTGTACGTGTATAATTTTAAATCGGCCACGATCGGCCGATTGCAATTCTCATTAGCTACCAATAACCGATGGAAAGAGAGACAGGAGTTTTTTAAACTACTATCGCGTATTTACCTCGTTCATCATAACTTCCGTATGATACTGGAGAGTACTGTTGTGCCGTATACGAGCAGCGAAGAAATGCACCTTGAAAGGTGGAAACTCCTCCTTCGGATTTCGGTATATCGAGTTGTTCTTTCGTACATCTTCCGAGAACAGCAGAGTGTGATTCTCAGAGAGGAGCTTGCAATTTTGGCGATCTCCGATCCAAAAATTGTTCCCGTTGACGAATCCCGACGACGGCATTCCGTTGCTGTCCAACACTTGAAAAATACATAACGAGATACAGATTGGCGATGCAGTCGGTGATGAGATAACTTCAAACGAATCGGTGGAAACCGATCCGACGTTCTGCGTTCGATACAGAGATGCTTCCGATCGTCATCCGGCACGTTACGCAGGAGAAAAGAAACTAGAAACTCTTGTGTAACGCGCGAAGAAAGTGCCGGGGGTTGACTTGACGAAGAGGCTCGTCACGTGTCTCTGACACAACACGCCGATACAGCGTAGATCGTTTCCAAAAAAAAAAAAAAAAGAAAATTCATGCGGTTGCGTAAAAATTGGTTTTCATTGTTATCGGAATCGAATTTTTCGCGGTGTAAAGTGCCTTTCACATGCGAAACGACGCGTTACGAAACACAGAAACCGCAGAAGACGATGCATAGTTCGTCGGGTACAGTTCGATCAAGTATCATTTTTTTTTTTTTTTTTTCTTTGATCGTTATCGAATGACAGAGAGACATTTGCTTCAAGACATAGTAAAAGTTCTATTAACCTCTCAGACTCCAAAGTATCTTGTTATCCACTCCGTTGCGAAATTCTTCCATCTCTGCCCGGCATCTGCTCGAATTCACAAGATCGATGTTCTCCATAAGCGCGTACGCTGGGAACATCTGCCTCATAGTTTCCGCGGTTCCCTGAGCCGGCGGGTGAAAAATAGTTAACAAGAATAAGGACAACCATGCCCACGACGATATCTTTTCGTGTTGCATGTCTCACGGCTCTGAAACGTTTATTATTAAATCAGTGTAATAAAATTCACTATCGAGGCCCAAATTCGGAGATCTACCCGAACGTCGTGATAAAAAATACACGTCGCGACACTGCCGAATAATGCTCTCCGTGTGTCGGAGAGTACACGGCGGAGCTGAACGCGAAGCTGAGACGAAGTTCGCGACGAGACAACCCGTATCGAGATAGGAGCACACAATTTATTTACACGAGAGCACCGACCATGGAGATACGACGATCGGGGAAGGACTGCCCGTTCAGGAGTATAATCATAGAAACGAAATGGAAAGCAAGCCGTCCTTCTTGCCTGTGTTGTCATTGTTGGCTTTGAAGTCACACCACGACACCCCACCACTTTTCGACTCGGTTATTATTCTTAGGTGTGCCAAGGAATTATCATTTCAAATATTTTATTGAGCAATTTTACGTAATTTCAAATTAATTGTTATATTACTCGAAATAGAGCCAGTTCAATCTTTTTTTTTTTCTTTTTTTTTTTCAATTATCTATCGTGCACTGTTAAATCTTCTCTCGCTTCGGTTTCGTTTGAACCCGATGTGACTTGACTCTCGATTTAACCCAGGAGGAGGAAAAGGATCAAATACACGATACGAAGAAAGAGACAATTTTTTTTTTCAATTCGTGCAACAGGAGCATCATCGATTTTAGGATCTTTCAAATTTTATAGATAAAAAATGTCTCATTAAATTATGATCAAATTAATTTATTTTCACGATCAATATCAATTAATTTTAATTTTATTAATTTTTATCTTCACCAGTATTAGCAGGATTACAATTACAATATTATTATTTGATCGTAATTTTAATACATCCCAATGGAGATCTAATTTTGTATCAACATTTATTTTGATTTTTTGAACGCCCAGAAGTTTACATTTATAATAATTTCACAAGTTATTGTAAAGAGGAAAAAAAGAAATTTAAGAATAACTTATGCAATATTAAGGTAATAATTTATAAATAATATTAATAATATTAAGATAATAATTTCACAAATTATTGTAAAGAGGGAAAAAAAGAAATTTTTGGAAATTTAAGAATAACTTACGCAATATTAAGATAATAATATTAAGATAGTAATTTATAAATAATATTAATAATATTAAGATAATAATTTCACAAATTATTGTAAAGAGGAAAAAAAGAAATTTTTGGAAATTTAAGAATAACTTACGCAATATTAAGATAATAATTTATAAATAATATTAATAATATCAAGATAATAATTTCACAAATTATTGTAAGGAGGAAAAAAAAAATTTTTGGAAATTTAGGAATAACTTACGCAATATTAGGATTTTTATTGCTTGAGTTCATCATATATTTACTGTTGGATTAGGATTTTGCATATTTCACATCAGCAACTATAATTATTCCTACAGGAATTAAAGTTTTTAGATGATTAGCATATCATGGATCAAAAGGTCCAAAGATAATCAAATATCAACGATCGCCATTTTTTTTTTTTTTTTGTTATTTCACCGATTATCGTTCGGATACAGATAACGCGGTAATCGCGGTTTAAGTGTCTACGATTTAAGGAAGCTCGTCTTTTCATCCTTTCTCACTTCCTGTCACATCGTTGCCCGTTTTCTTTCAAAAACTTTCACTTCAGTCGCTGCGGCGCGTTTAACGTTCTTCGCTCCCCGACTTTTTACGATCGCTCGTTGCGCGTAATTAGCATTCTCATTTTATTGACGCGTTTAGGTAAAGAGTCTCGGCTGACTCGTTACTTCATCGGATTTCGCCGCGAACAAAATTACACGTGTGAAAAATTTTTTCCTCTTTTTTTTTTTTTGAACCCGACATGAAAAAAGCGAGTACAGAGTTTCCTTTTCATCGTTTGACGAAAGAGCCTTTGCCCTCAGCCAATTAAATGTTGAAACAGGCATAAAGAATTAGTTACCGATGCGTTTTGTTTGATTAACAAGACCGTATTGTCTTGTTAATCAAACAAAAGTGTCAAGATCGTCGCGCTTTTAACATCGTCAAAATTCCTCATAATCAATTATCTTCGAGCTTCTTTGAAATTTCCTTCCGACTACTTTTTCATCCTTTTTTTCTTTTCTTCGTCCATGCATATTTTATTGAAGAACGACTGCTTTTTGTCACTACGTTCTTCCCTACGTTCGTCTTCAATTCGTACTTCTGCATGATAAATAATTTATGGATGAAGTGCCTATTAGATGTGCAAGTGCGAGTGTATATTGTTGAAAATTACGTACGAGTAAACACGAGATGATTCTTCTTGAAATAAGGAAGAAAATTTTTCCGTCGAAGATTTCGTTCTCAAGAAAAATTGACTTTTAAATATGCTCGACTGAAAATTCGACCTGTGACATGTGAATTTAACAAAAAATTGTAATTCAATTTTCTCGAAGACGAAGCACGTTTTATTCTACGTTTTCAATTTATTCAAGAATATGTATGAGATGTACTACCTGGAACAATCTCGTGTGTTAGATTTAGACACGTGCGTGATAAATTTTTCACACTCGATTTCCTTTCGAAAATGAAAATGAACTTTTCCTTGGGCAGAAAAATTCTATTGTGCAACATCTTTTAATATTGTGCGAAAAAAAAAAAAAAAATGTTTACGTTGTATGCTGCGAGTAGATTGGAAATGATATAAGTATACAGGGTGCACGCGTTAAGTTTGGTCGCTAGATTTTAGGTATTTCCGGTAGTGCAATTAAAAAATGTTTCAAACCAAATTTTTTTAGTATTTCGATGTGAATCTTAAAAAATGCTTTTTACGTGAAAAAAGTCAAGGTCACTTTGACTTTTCTAAACGGCAGCATATGTTTTTGATGTCAGGACGAATTCAACAGTGTATAAGCTAATTAGACCGATGATATGATAATTCTAATGACCTGCCGATGACTCTGGAGCGTACGTGATAAATACATACATAATATGGGGGCAAACGACGAAAATGAACAGAGATGGCGTAATTATAGCGATAACGAAAAGTCTAATACACAGAGCGGAGCTCTGTATCATAGTTTGAAGTCATTTCAAAGTCACAGTATAATACACTGTTGAATTCGTCTCGACATCAGCAACAATCCTATGATATTAGAAACATATGGTGCTATTTAAAAAAATCAAGGTGACCTTGACTTTTTTACGTAGAAAGCACTTTCTGAGATTCGAAAATATAGGAACATGTATCCCATCAAATACCAAAAGAATTCTGTTTGAAACACTTTTTAATTGCACTAAACGGAAACGTCTAAAAACTGGTGACAAAACTTTAACGCGTGCACCCTGTATATTATGATTATTTGTAAGTTTAACATTATATTTGTCAGAATCATTTTTTGGCACCTATCCTCAGGTTACGTCACGATTAAGAATAAATTTTCTTTCAATTTCTGCAAGTTCGAAATCGATTCTTTTTTTTTTTTTTTTAAATCCAAACGAACGTGCACGATAATTTCATTTCCTCGTAAATATTTAATTAACGCTTGTATGGAATATAAATACAAACGTTTTCATTCTATCGTTCTTTCATTTATTTCATACAATTTAGCATGGAAGCATCATACGAGCATACCAGTGTGCATGTAACGTGATCTTGGCCTTTGATCTGAATGTAAAATTAAGTTGTTTAACAGATAAACAACAAACACTGTCGTTCATTTTTTAACTCAAGAATTTATTCAAATTAACGCGACTGTCTATCAAGTCATTTTACTGGTTCTTTTTTTCTTACTTTATCTCTAAATATTCATTCCTTCCCGCAATTCTTGACGATTCGCATTTGTACTTGTTCGAAGGCCAGATTTTCTATTGTATTTACATTTGCGAATTGTACTTGCAACAATTTTTTCTGAACATCTCGGAAACTATGAGAGCCTGAAGTTGTTTTCGTGACAGGATGAAATTGTTCGAAATGTTTGAAAATCATCAAAGTCTGCGTTAAAGGAAGGGGAGCGAATAATGTCCAGGACGCAAGATCGAAAGACAGGCGAGGAACTTTGCGAGCATACTAAGGGGACTTCCTATTTGTTTTTCGTTCGAAGCGGATAGTGATTTTATTTGGTCAATATTGTGTGTAACTTGAGGTTTCTATGAATCACTTCTAATAACCTACTTTTACTTCGATTGCCACTGATTTAAATTATTCATCAAAACGTGAACGCGGTTAATTAGAACAAGGCGAACTTGTAAAAAAAGAAAAAACCGTTTGTCTTATTGCTGAGGTGTGATAACAATGACAATAATAACAAGTAATATCATATAATCTGTATATTAATTACTCCATCATGGACGCACAAGGAAATGGGAATCGATAATAACTAGAGAAACAGTTTTTTGCGAATATCTCGAAAAGAAATTGTTCTTTGAAAAAAGAAAATCAACTTTCATCATTCTCTTGAGTAAATCTCTTTGAGAATGTATGTACTGCGCAATACGAGATAGGGAAAGGGCTAAATGTGGATTAAGTATCGAGAACAATTCGAGCTTATTAACCTGTAAAGGCAGGTTTGCATCACATTTGCATTTACGAGCAGTTTTTGTTAATCTTTGGTACTTTGAACATCTTTACGATTACACATTGAATATATTTAATGATCTTTTGCATTGATTTAATCAAAAATTAGCATTAAACTTTAAACCTTATGCTCACGCGTCTGCCTGCAAGAAATTAAATGACGCGAATTATTGCCTTTCTTAAATCACTATTTCAAACAACGCAGTTAAAAAATAATCATAGATCAAAATATGGAGCGTGACGAACGCGAACGTTCGTATGCAATTATCATGCAAAACGTTTCGAATAAAATGGAATTTTTGAAAAAGAAATCTCCCTAGCGTGAATTGTTAATCTATAAGAATGCATATTTGTGTAATTAGGTCAAAGAAAAAGGAGCTGTAATAGAAAAACGGAAAGAAATAGAGAAAAATATACTGCTAGGTTACTTCCCGCAGCTTATTTAAAAATTGTATTCTGTTTTTTCTTTCTTTCTTTTTTTTTTTTCTTAGTAGAATTTGTTATTTTTCTCAAAAGAATCGTATGTACATAGACATTTTAGATTCTTTCTTTTTTAACATTTTATGACGTGTTTTTTTTCTTTACCGTTTACGTTCGTTTCTTCCTTTACATTTAATAATAACGCCAATAAAAATCTTTTAAAGATACATGTATAGACATTTACAAATGAAATTCATACTGGGATTACGTTCTTACGTTCATCACGTTGAAAAATAACACGACACGTTGGACCTGAAAATC